ATTGAGAAATTTCAAACTATAAGGCAATCTAGCAAGTAATAATTTAATAGAGATAATTCTCAAACCAGCCTAATACCATAGAGAAAAAAATTTTAACTAAATTGGAAAATACATTCACTTCTGAGGAGTGAACTAGAGATTAGCAAAGTACTATTCTTTTGGCTTCAGTCTGAAAACATGCAAGCCATATTTATAGCTTTGGGCTACTCTGCAGGCCTGTATCTACTTTGAACAAGATTTCTGGAATTACAAACAAATAAATATCAAAGAAGTTTCTCTGCAGCTCTTCTAGTGTACTCTTGCCTTTTTTCTCTCTCTCTAACCTCCAAAAAATATCTTTAAATGATAAAATAGAACTTCATTCTCAGTAGTGAACAAATATCCACTGGATACATTTTAAAAAATGAGATAGGCCGGGCACAGTGGCTCATGCCTGTAATCCGGCACTCTGAGAGGCCCAGGATTGCTTGAGCTCAGGAATTCAAGAGCAGCATAAGCAAGAGTGAGATCCTGTCTTTACTAAAAATAGAACAGTTAGCCAGGTGCTGTAGTGGATGCCTATAGTCCCAGATACTCAGGAGGCTGAGGCATGAGGATTGTTCACACCCAATAGTTTGAGGTTGCTGTGAGCTATGATGCCACCTACCTAGGGTGACAGAGAGACACGCTGTCCTTAATAATAATAATAATAATAATACTAATGCTAATAAGATAAAATGCAAGTTGGGGAGTTTCTGGAAACCTGTATGGAGTAAATGTAATCATTAATCTGGCCTCCTTCCTCATGTATTATCTGCATAATTATCTCAGAAAGCAGGTAGAGTGCAGCGCTTGTGGCTCAAAAGGGTAGGATGCTGGTCCCATATGCTGGAGGTGATGGGTTCAAACCTAGCCCTGGCCAAAAAATGGCAAAAAAAAAAAAGCAGGTAGAGGCACAGTGCCAGTAGCAGTGGTTACAGTGCCAGCCACATACACTGAGGCTGGTGGGTTCAAACCTGACCTCGGTCAGCTGGACAACAATGACAAATATAGCCAGGTGTTGTAGCAGGTACCTGTGGTCCCAGCTACTTGGGAGGCTCAGGCAGGAGAATCGCTTAAGCCTTAGAGTTGGAAGTTGCTATGAGCTGTGCTGCCACAGCACTCTACCAAGGGTGACATAGTGAGACTCTGTCTCAAAAAATAAAAAAAAAAGTGGCTTGGCGCTTGTGACTCAATGGCTTGGCGCTTGTGGCTCAAACACCTAAGGTGGCGGGTTTGAATCCCCAAACCGGGCCCACCAAACAACAATGATGGCTGCAACCAAAAAATGGCCGGGCGTTGTGGCGGGCGCCTGTGGTCCCAGCTACTTGGGAGGCGGAGGCAGGAGACTCGCTTGAGCCCAGGAGTTGGAGGTTGCTGTGAGCTGTGATGCCATGGCACTCTACCCAGGGGGATAGCTTGAGGCTCCATCTAAAAATAAAAAAAATTAAAAAAGAAAAAAGAAAGCAGGTAGAACAGTCATAGGAAAACAGGTAGCAGGTTCAAACCTGCCCCTGGCCAAAACCTGCAAAAAAAAAAAAAAAAAAGAAAAAAAGTGGTTCCAATTTCTTTTTCATCAGGAATACAATTAAATCGTATCAGTGCCCTCCATATTCCTGAGTAAACAATTCAAAGGCAAGTAGTGTTCCCAAACAAAATAACAACTTTAAATTAAAACTACACATCTACAAGTTTCCTTCACAAACTCAAAATGGGAAACTGCCATCGTGGCCCACAGCAGTCCAGATGTCCATGGAAATGACTTTGTGCTGGCTAGCAGGCAAGAGGGGTAGAATTT